CTGAATCAGCGTCTGCTCCTTTCACTAACTCTGAAAACTAGAAAGTCTGCAGTGCTACGGGTGCCAGGAGCACCGGGCACCTTCACGGGTTTCTTCCCACTCTCATCTACTCCCGCAGAGACGGCGATTTCAGCAGGGAGCGTGCGCAGCCCCCAGCTCGAGTGCCTGTCGGGTGGGCAGGGGTCCTGGCCGCGGGTGAGCGCTGGGTTGGTGGGCTGGATCTCAACAGGTACTGGATTTGGTCTCCCCGCGGGGGAACGTGGCTCTGTGCACCGCCGGCATGCGCACGTCGCTATCTGAGCAATAAATCCTGAACTAGCCACCCCAGTTTAGCGGTTTTCTTACTTGATAAGATCCGGGTAGAACTGCTTGTCCCACCCGCTGTAGAGAGAGCTGGTGACGTACAGCCTCTTCCCGTCCAGGCTGAGCTGGATCATCTGAGGTCCACCCCGCATCCTCTTCCCCTACAATGGGAAGAGAGGACAAGGTGCTCAAGCCAAGCTGCCTTGACAGTGGTAATAACGCATTTCGCTAACGAGCAGAGACAACCGATGCGCTTTCATTTGTCCGTCACGGCGCCGGCTGCCATCAAACTCTTTACACCCCAAAGCTGCAGCGCTGGTTTAGTGCTTCAGCCATCAGATACTGAAAGATCAGCGGCAGCAACGCCGGCAGCGCGATGAATGCACGCGGCGTTAAATGAGCCAGCTACCAACAGCAGGGAGGATGTAACCACACAGGTGTCGGTGCAGCTGAACAGCTTGTCCGAGCCCAGCGGGGACCCAGAACGCTCACCAGGATTTACGAGCCGGAGCAGGACCTGGCCAGGCTGTGAGCCAGGGCGCCACACCAGCTCATGCGGCACGTTCCCGGCGGGGTTTGAAGCAGATCACAACAAGCAGAGCACCCACAATGCGCACGTTGGGAAAGCTCACCTTGATGACAAAGGGCTCTGGCTGGCCCTGCAGCTCCTTGTCTTCCAGCACAGTCACAGGCCCACCCGCCGTGATGCTGCCTCCCAGGAACACCTGACGTGGGATTGAATGAGAACGGGCTCCCATAGGAGCGTGAAAGCAACAGAGTGAGCACTCTCAGAAGTTAACTGTCCTTTTCTCCTTTTGGAAAAAAGGGGGAAAAGCTGCACTGCCCGTGTACGTGACAGCTGCTCTGGTGCTGCCTCACCTGCCCCACCAGCTTGGGCTTGCGGGTGTCGGAGATGTCGTACTGGCGGATGTCTCCGTGCAGCCAGTTGCTGAAGTAGAGGAACCTGTCGTCCAGCGAGATGAGGATGTCGGTAATAAGACCTTTAAGAAAATATTGAGTAGCAAAGTCAGGCAATGGACGGGACCAGCAAGAAGCACGATCTGACAATCTCCTACCGGGTAGCTCACAACCCAAACAGAAATTTGGTATTTTCCAAGGGAAGTGTTTGCCATTTGAAGAGAAGATTTTGCAAAAAGTTACACTGTACCAGCGAACCGAAGAAGACAACACCCTATTTCTTTCTCAAACGTGCTCCCACTAACCCGGCATCTCCGGGAGAAGCCATCCTTGCACCTTCTTGCTGGGTACTTCAATCACCTTCTCTGCTGCCCAGTCTCCTTTCTGTGGAACGCACGGAGAGAGCACAACGTTATTACAGCCTCGAGGTTAGCCGGGAGGGCTCGGCTACGCCGGACAGAGGGAGGAGAAGCAAACAGGGCTCTTTATTTAACGGGTCCTGTCAGAGGTGATGTGCACGCTGTGAGCGCGTGCTCCCAGGGGGGAGGACGGTGACTGTGCTGCCCGTGAGAATGTTAATGATTACACCGCGCTGCTGGAGATTCCCAGGCTGAACGGCTGCAACACGGCTGCAGAGGTGCTCAAATTTAGAATTAGGAGCCTTGTTTGTTATTTTTTTTAGTGCAAATCCCACTATTTCCTAAGCAATCAGTGGATTTCTGAAACGACACTCGCGCTGCTGGAGATTCCCAGGCTGAACGGCGGCAACACGGCTGCAGAGGTGCTTAAATCTGGAATTAGGAGCCTTGTTTGTTATTTTTTTTCGTGCAAATCCCACTATTTCCTAAGCAATCGGTGGATTTCTGAAACGACAAGGTGAGAGCTCCTGCGTTCGCCACAGCTTTCGGCACTGACCTCTGTCTTGTAGAAGCGATGCACGGCCCCGCTGAGAGCACACCCCACGAACCCCTCCGCTGCGTCCGGGTTGTGGAGGAATCGAATTTCCAGAGGGATGGAGCCTTTCCCCAAATCGATCGCCTGAACGTACGTGTGCGTGCTCCAGTCCCACACGTTGATGCGGCGCCCGTAGTGCCCTGGCGGATCAGGTCGGACAAAGACAAGCACGGCAGGTGCGATTTTAACAAAGAACCACCTTGGCTTTTGGGAGCTGCAGCAAACGCTGCCTCACCTTTCTCGATATCGGCTGGGGTTAAACCAACGGCCCAAGCCTTTTGGGGCCC